ATAAATGTGAAAACATTTTATCCAATTTGTATGTTAATGGAAATTCTTGCTTTGCTTTATCATCATCATTACAAGTAATGATTAATTCGATGCGAACGAAGTCGCGGGTACACGCTAGTTGATTATAAGTGTACCATTTCAAAATGTGTTCAATGCTCTATCATTAATTAATATTTTAGTGTTTTATTGATGAATTTTGTTCTTCATAGGTATATTTTTGCATTTAGCCGCATGACAAAATATGAGGGGTGTTTCATAAAAAAAACTAATCATTGGTCAATATTTCAAAAATAAAATTATTGAAAACTGATATACGAGGGGTATCTGAAATTTCCAGCGTATATAAACTGGACTAAAAATCCTCTAATTTGTTTTTGAACGATGTTCTCGCTTAAAATATATGTATAAGTTAAAGCCTGTTAAAAGCGTAACAAAATAGCATGCTAACACTGTACCTTGGACATAGTTAAAATAATAAAATAACCCTAGTACGGATTTATTTCGAGAAGGGAAACAAGACGGGCCGCAACTAAAAAGTTCAAGGCTGGCGAGGTAGCGCCGCGACGCTCTACCGGCGTCCCTCCAGCCAGTGAACGACGGCCGACGTCCCGAGCGTCGCCCGTCACAAACGGCGCAACGACTGACGCAATCAATATTAGAAGTCGACGGGATTCGAACTTTCGCTTCCAAAAAGGAATTTTTACCGCTTTCCGTCGCCTATTCACTCGAAAAAACGAAAATATCCGTCGCGATCCTACATCAATCTTACTATCCACCGATTTTACGGTTATATTTTCTACTGTCATTTTAGTGCGATCCGTGGCGTTCCAGTGACATAATCCTGCGGCAAGTGTTGTCCTGCGACGGGGCGCTTGACCTCTGGACGATTTTTTCGGCCACAAACCAACCGGAACAGGCTGTCTAGGTTAGAAACACTACGAATCTCTGAGAAAGAATTGAAAGTTATCGATGATTTTTACGTTCGCGTACGATACATAGTTCATAAGTTCAAAGGTGACGATGTTTTTTTGAGTGGTGGTTTTGAGGGTTAAGTGGTAGGAAAGAACGTCTGCCGATGATTTAGCCGCGATGAATTGAGGGTTTAATCCGATTTAGGGGACATTTTCAATAGGGTAGGTATAATCCAGTTTACATATTGGCAGGAGTTCAAAATATTTTTTTATAAGTATTTTCACATTTGATTGAAACTGTATTTACAATATTGTTTTGTCAGTAGTATCACCGTATTTTAGTTTTACTTGTTTTAGATATTGTATGCAATAAATTATTGTGATAATGTTGCTAAATTTCAAAAAGCAACAATAGGTACAAACATTACAATATCCTTTTAAGCCAACTTTAGGAAGTTGCTGAGGTTTTGAAATACATTTATAGACATAGAATAAATATGAGTGTTAGACAGTGTTTTGAAGTAACTGTATATGGTGTACTTTCAATATTAAATTTTAAGAAATAGTAGTTGATGATTCTATTATAGGGATATTAAAATTGGATGAAGTTTCTTCATGCTAAGTGATAATATTTAGGGTTCACTTTAAGGCTTCTTTTATTTTGATGTATACAGCTCATTTGCAACTTTTGAACCGAGAGTCATACTAGTGTAACGTCAATGATATACAATGTTACATTACAACATTCTGACAAATGGAACTCCACTTGTCATAACAATGAAAGATGCATATGATTCAAAATGGTAAAACTGTACTACTATGTATCCTTATATCTGTGGTACTGTTTATAAGGATAAAAGAAGTACCACCAGTAGTACTTCTCTACCATAATGGAAAGTACTCTTACAGGGCTGTTACGGAATTTTACACTATCGCCATTCGCTTTGGCATTAAAATGTGTGTAAGATACCAAATTTCAAGAAAAACGGTACCAATGTTCTTAAAAATAAACAAAATATATTATTTTTATTTAACCTTTCGATGGCTGTAATTTGTTATGGAAGCATTTTAGAGCATATGTTTATAGGAACTTTTTGTTTTATTTTTATCTGTAGAATCACTGATACCCTGTATATAGCTCATTTATCTTTTAATAACTGAATTACTCTGGTATAACGTCAATGATATACAATAATTACGTTACACTACAGATATGAAAGTTATAGTCTAAACAATATTTTTCAAATTATTATATCCTATTTTTTCCCTATTTTTGACTTAGCTACCATTGAAAGTTTCTTTTTATTGGTCAATACTCAATACCAAATTGTTGTTTGATTGTGTGTTTCGATAGCTCAGTCCTAGTAATGTTAATATTTCAGAAATTTTTGATTGTTGCAGGAAATTTCTGAAACTTTCGGAAACTTTCAGAAATTTATGAAATATTAGGAAATTTTACAATTTTACATATTTTTTGTCGATACAATAAAGGAATAAATTATATAGACATTTGATACCAACATCTAAGTGAAAAAAAAACAATAAACATAATATTAGTAGTTCTTCTTCCTTTTTTTTTTATGAAGTGGCTCTGCTACAAGGCAACCGCCAGCTCAATTTGGGGAGTGACAAGATGACTGGCTCTAAACCATATCAAGGCCACTGATTCTTATCTGAGTAAAATGTATAATGGAGTAGAATTTTAATATAACTAACTTCTATGAGGTAACCTGTGACCTGTGACTGTAAAATGTTATTATTATTATTTATTAAATATATATAAATGACGTGCTGAAAGGAAGATTATATCACACACAAGGCTTTATAGGATAGAGGTCACACAAACAGACTGCATTCGGAAACTGAAACAAAAAAGAAAATAAAAAATAGAAAGTTGAGCATTATAATTTAATTCTATTAGTGTTTAAAAATATCATAATAGTTTCTATTAATTTTCACTTGGCTTAGACAAAACTGTAAAATATTGATAGTGGAGTAGGAAAATTCATTTCAATAAATTTTTATAAATCCAAATTAAACAAAAAAATTTATAGGACATTCTAAAAGATATGATTTAGGTCTTCAACAGAGCCACACTCAAGAATGGATCTTCCTTCACTTTAATTTTATATAAATGGTTTTTGTTAAGCAATGGCCTGTACGCATTCTAATTAACGTTGTAATATGTCTTCTAATATCTATATACTGGAATTTTTAAACCATTGTTTATCTGGGAAGATTGTTTGTATATTAAAATACATGCTTTTCCTTTCATACGAGATTTCCAATTTTCCTTATAATTACACAAAATATCAGTTTAATTGAATTAAAAATATCTATTGAATCCATCTCCATAGATTTCAGAACATTTAAATCTTTTCAATATTAGCCAACAAATCTGCCTCTGTATTTCCCAAGATATTGGAATGATGGAATCAGGCAATCCTGATGTCAAAACCATTAGAATTTGCTAAACAAATTAAACGTTTGGTTCTTAAAGGTCCAATAATCAGCAGATGCTTTAAAAGAGATTTTTACAAAATTTTTTTGAATTGAACTTTTGGAATCTGAAAAAGATAATAACACTACGCAAGTTCTTTTTAATAGCAAACTTTACTGCATCATGAATAGCTATGGTTTCTGCCTTACAAATGCCCAGAATCAGGTAGTCGCGAAAATTTAAAAAATTTATATATGGAATATATATTCAAATCCTGTTCTTTCTTTTTAGATGCATCTGTAAAATAAAATATGAGAATTTTCAAAACGTTCAGATACTGACAAAATTGTTCCTTAATAGAAAAATCATGTTTATTAATTTGACAATCAACTAATTTAATAGAATCATTCAAAATATTAAAACTAACTTCATAACACGGAGAAAATTTTGACTAACATAAAATTATCAATAAGGCAGAAAATCATGTAAAGCAGACCACATAAGGTACATTATTACTATTAATATAGAATTGGATTAACAGTTTTCTAATATTGTAAATTAAATTTATTAATGGATTATTTTGTAAAGTTAACAATTTAGACGATTTGCCTACAGTATTTTTCTTCTACATTCTAAATCAATCATAGAAGATTCTCCCAACAACGCTAATCTAGGAGTAGATTTCATACAACCTAGACAAATACGTAAACCCTCAAAAAATACTACATCTAGTTTATTTAAATTTTTTTGACTAGTTGGTTTAATAAAAATTGTTGCAAATTCCAAATGAGATCTCACCAGAGCAGAAAAAATAATTAAAAGGGTACAAGGATCAGCTCCCCACCACACTCTACAAACAGCCCTTAAAACATTTAAGGCTTTTTTAGCCTTATTAGTAATATTTTCAATATGCAAATCCCACTTTAAATGTTTTTGAAAAATAACGCCCAAATACTTCACATTATGTTTATATGGAATAATGTGATTTCCAAGTTGAATCAATGGTGGCTGATCTCTCCGTTTGCCCTTAGTGAACCATACTGCCTCACATTTTTCCAAAGATAAAGAAAGATCTCTATTAATAAGAAAATCATTTACAAGCTCCAAAGCATTATTAATTTTTTCAGACATCTCAAGTATATTTGAACCCTTAACAAAAATTACCAAATCGTCCGCATAACCAATAATCTTTACATTTAAATAATTTTTAAAAAGTTCTGAAATATAAATATTAAAAAGAATAGTACTTAATGGAGAACCTTGCGGAATACCTTTAGTTGCTAAAACCGGACCTAAGAAGGAACCATCAGATTTTCTGGAAAATAACAATCTATTTTTCAAAAGTATAAAAATTAAATTAGATAATTCTACTGGAATTTGTAAATTAATAAGCAAATTATAGAGTTTGTATATGTTAACATTATCATATGCAGATTTTATATCTAAGAAAACAGCAATAACTGAATTTGACGAATTAAAGGCATCAAAAATAAAAGTAGATAAATAAGCAATATTATCATATATTCCCCTACCCTTACGAAAACCTACCTGTTCATTTGTAAACACAATTTTATTCTCCAAAAACCAATCTAAACGATTTTTAATCATAATTTCTAAAATTTTGCCACCACATGAAGATAATACAATAGGTCTATAACTCTCTGGCAAAGTAGGATTTTTGTTTTGTTTTAAGATATTAATAATATTATATTTCTTCCACGAATCCGGTAACACACCTTCAAATAAACATTTGTTATATATTTTAAGAAGATAATTTTTAGCAATCAATGGTAAATTTTTATACATGGAATAAGAAATATCATCCATGCCAGGTGCAGAAAATTTTTTATCCTGAACAGCATAGTTAAATTCCTGACTAGTGAATGGAGGAATGTTACTATTTATATATGTTGGCGACAGTGTAAAATTCGGATCTATGTATATACTAGACATATTATATAAAATTTGTTGTTTTAAATCATCTGAAATGTTATAACTATTAGAATTGCTGTTATTATTAGAAAATTTTTTAATTTTTTCCCAAACGTATGAAATGCTAGATTCCCTATTTAATGTTTCACAAAAAGATTGAAATTTTTGTTTTTTCTTTGATCTTAATTTTTTTCTCGTAACTGCAATACATCTTTTAGCATTGATAAAATTAGTCAAAGTTGGAACATTATTGAAAACATTAATTGCTCTTTTTCTGTCTTGAACCCACTGAAAACATTCTTCATCCCACCATGGGTTTCCAATTTTATGATAAGAACCACATTTTTTCAAAGGAATGGCATCATCAGCAGCTCTATTCATAATAAAAGACAAATCATTATAATCTAAAATAGTACTATCTTTCTCGATTAACTGCACAGCTATTTTATGTTGATAAAGATGCCAATCAGCTTTACTACAATTTCGTACACAATAACTATTTACAAAAGCTTTTTTTAAATATAAATTGTTTGATAAATTTAATTGTAAAATTGTAGGATAATGATCGCTATTTCCACAATCACTAATAACTTTCCAGTTAGAATTTATAGCTAATGCGCTACTGACAATTGTTAAATCAACTGCACTCAAACTGGAATTCGGATTTTGCACAAGAGTTCTAGAACCATCATTTAAAATCACCATATCATTTTCTATAATAAAATTTACAAGCCTTATTCCGCCCCTATTAATAGGAGATTCATCCCATAATGGATGATGGGAATTAAAATCTCCCATAATAATAATTTTATTTAAATCTAAACCATCTAAAAGTTGTTTAAACAGATCTTCCGAAACATTTTTATCTGAATTAATATAAATATTAATTAATATTAAATCAGCAATTTTAATAATAATAAATTGAGCAACTTCTGAATTAAATTTTTTTAAATTAGAAAAAATAATATTCTTTTTGACGCAAATTGCCACTCCACCATATCCATCTTCCCTATCCTGACGAATTATATTATATGATGATAAAACAAAATTTTGATTGGATTTTAGCCATGTTTCATTTAGAAAAATTATATCTGGAGACTCTTCATTTGCTAATAAGATTAAATTAGCACGATTTGAATTAACACTACGAATATTCCATTGTAAAATTTTTATATCTGATGTAGACTTCATATTGTCATTAATCTAAATTATAAATACAATATATAATTATAAATAATATGTATAATATTTGTATATGTACCATATATGTACTAATATAAATGTAATCTTTAAATATGTGTTAAAATAAATAAAATAACATTAAAAACCTATATCTTGTTCAAAATCTAAACTTGAAAATAATAAATTCTTAATCTTGCTTTTATTTTCTCTTGACGTATTCATAATAAAATTAATGCAATTATGTAACTCATCATTTTGATGAAATTCAAATGTCTGAATGGCACTACCAGGCTCAGTTTTAGAATTATGTGAATTAGAAGAGGTATTAGAAGAGGTAGACGGTAAATTTGAAAAATCTTGCTTTTGCGGTCTTGAATTTGGAAAAAATAGACAATCATCTCTAGCTTTTTTATCCACTCCCTTATGAACTATCCTTTTCTTGGCTGAATTTTCAGATATAACCTGTTGAAAGGACCTTTTTACACTATTTTGGAAATACTGTGTTCTTCTTTCAGAAGGTTTAATAATATTATCATTTTTCTTTGGTATATCTTCCCCATTATGTTTTTTAATTAATTCTGGAAAGTTATTGTTGTTCAAAAAAAATTCTCCATTTGAAATATAAGATTTTTTACATGTCTCACTGGCATCATAAAAAGTTAAATTTTCGAGGGCCATTAATTCTTTAATATTTTTTTGTCTAGAATATTCAGGACACTTTTTTGATGATGACTTGTGGTCATCCTTACAGTAAAAACATTGTGTAACACAAGAAAATTTAACTTCCCCATCTTGTAAATGATTCTCCTCCTCTCCGCAATTAAAACATCTTTCTTTACCTTTACAATTGTTCTTAGTATGGCCAAAACGAAGACAGCGATAACACTGAGTTACAGGAGGAATATATACATTAACTGGACGTTCTAATCTATATAAATTTATCGATCTAGGCAGTATAATTCCTTTAAAAGTAAACAAAACAGTTCCAGTTGGTTCATATATAACAACATTATTTTTAAATACTTTTCTATTTAATCTCTTTACTTGTAAAATTTCAATTCCATTATTAGCTTTACAAAATTTCAAAATTTCTTCTTCGGTCAAGTCCGCATCGATTTGTCTTACAATTCCTTTGCAGGTAACAAAATTATATGGTATAAATATTTTATACCCTTTCTCAATTAATGTTTTATTTTTTAAAAAATTATTTGCTGATTGAAAATTAATAAATTCAACAGAGATTCTATTTAGACCTTTATTATTAATTCTCTTATATCAGTCAAATTTAAATTAAAAATTTCTCTAGCTATTTTTATGTTATTAAACTTTCAATGTTATAGCCAACATTAACCGTCGATTCAAATAAACTACGAAAGGACCATTATCATTAGAATAAAAAATTGTTTCATTTTTAAATTTTGACTGCGTTGAACCCAAACTAATTTCATCCACCATATCAACAGTATCAATATTAACATTTGAACGCCATCAGGGGTATCCGCTCCCCCTAGCCTTACTCATATTTAAAAAAATTCAAGCACTAATGAATGTAGTATATACAAAAATAAAATATATAACAATATGGGCAATCCAAAAAAATTCAATTAACCTAACAAAAAAATAATGCTCAACTTACCACAGGAAGGCCTAAGGTGGTGAAAAATAATTAAACTTTCAGCGTTTTCCTGCGGCAAAAAGCTCACTTAAAGATTTCACAAATATCAGAGCTGGGTCACCAAACAAAGAAGCTGAAATAAATATCCAAAAAACCGCAGTCCTAACAGCACTAAAATTAACTAAAAAATTAATATTTTTTTCAGACAGAAAATGACAATGTCACAAGCACCGAAAAAAATTGGTAAAATTGATATTAGTAGTTATATTTTTAATAAACAATACATAACCCATAAAAGTCATAAACATAACCCCTAACAAAAATCATTTGGTAACATTTGTATTTTGTGCATAAACCACGAACTATGACTATGAATTAAAAAAAAAACAAAAAAAGCACAGAAATATAAATTTAAAACGTAAAACACAAATAACTGGATATTCTATTCGGAATATCAGGTGCCGAGCTGTGGTCCCATCTTCATAGGGTATTATAGTAGTAGTAGTACTGTCTTCGTCAGTTTCCAAAATCAGATATATTTGATGTATCATCTGGTTCACAGATTCTGGAAACGGACCTCTACCTCCACGAGTTCTAGTGGTTCTGGAGGAATTTCATGTTGTTGAATATCATGCTCCATATCCACTTTTGTTTTTGTGGTAATAATTTACTGTTATGAGCTACGAACATTATTTTACCGGCTCATTGTGCAGGATTAAGCAGATTCACTTTTTAGTATGGATAAAACTGTAAGTACTGATACTTCTCTCTGTAGCTGCAGATGACGTTGGTAAAGACAGCAGAGCAACAGCTAAATATTTCAACTGAGTATTTTTTACACATTGCTTGCCACCAACTTAGATAGTCTCTACATTTTAACTGACATCCAAACGTAGTCGAGCCCATAAACCCGATTTGGCGCAATAATTTGTTACATCTGTAAAAATGACAGTATTGACAAACTGAGGATGATTGTTGGTGATATTGTTGATAAATTCCACCGGCTATGTCTTCATTGTTAAGGAACTCCCCAGGAAACAGGGGGTCCAGAGCAGCCCCGGATGTAAGGGGGCAAACCGGGGCACCAAAGGCGCCAGTGTCGGGGGCGTCAAAATCATAATATAATATGGTTGAAAATCAAAAATTGCTCCACAAAGCGCTAGTATGCACCTTACGTTCTTCTATCAAGTATTCATTTTATTTTAAAACGCCCAGTTAGTTTTTGAACACATTCTAAAGTTCATTCAGGAACACCATAATGAGTGGATTAAATTAGCGGTTTCAATTAATTACACTTTTTAGTTTGATCATTCACAATGTTTAAAAAACACAATTAAAAATTAATAAAATATCCCTAGCAACAGCTTGCGGTAGTCAGTTGTATCCATAAAGAAAGCCAAATATTTAGCTTATAAAACAATAAACTTTTGATTTCTAACCACGATTTCTCTTGACGGATACTAATCAATGGACAAAATGACATTTTCATAAAATTTGAAGTATAATTAGTGGAAAAGTCAAAAAGAAGTTTGTTTACTTTTCTGCAGTGAAAATGACTACCACTAATTTAGACGTACTGAATTGTACAATGAAATTAAAGGAACTTTCAGCTTCTACGCTAATTGAAACCATTAATTTATTCCACTAATTCGGAGGCTCTGAATGAATCTTAAGGGCTCATTCTATCCCGTTTACGAAAAATGCCTATATCTAGATATTTTGTAAGTTTTTAAATTAATTTATTGCAAACGCTGGAGAGGGGGGCGCTACTATCGATTTTCCCCGGTTCAAAAAATTGTAGGTCGGGGCTGTCCAAGAGATTCGCGACAAAATGCATTGGTTCAAAGAGCCATAGGTTTTTTTTATTTGTAAGGCGGAGAAGCATTCTTTCTTCTGACCCAGAATCGGCATACTTGATACACTTTCGTTAAATTTTGCTCAATGTCTTAAATTTTGAAAAGAAGTTTCTTACAAAATTCGGATTTTGCGAATATTCTCGATTTTGGGAGCGAATATTTCGGAAATTTCTGAAATTTCCTGCTAAATTCGAATGGAAATATTCGCTACCAACATCACTACTCGATCCTATAAAAAAAGATCTTTTCGCATTGGAGGTAATTGCTAATTCAATTGAAAATCGACTTCTAATCGATTTTCGAACAAATACCGTTTCGATCATAAATTTATGTGGGATATGAATTGAATATTTTGTGTATTATTAATAGACCTAATATCAGAAATTTCATCTGTCGAAAATGATAATGTAATGTGCAAAGGTATTTCAAAGAACGATACGCCACTGGCGGTTAGAAAGAAACAACACTATCGGAATGACACATTGAAATTAACTTTAATGTTTGATACACAAGATACACTATGAAATAGGATTTATGAATGACATGTTCGGTCTATTTTTATAATTTTGCATTACACCAATTCTGACGGTTTTAAGATTTTAGCCAATTCTACTTATGATAGAGTAAATGAAGAGATAAATCTTATTTTAAAATACTCAAAATCTTTACCCTATTAGTTCGTGGTGGCGCCTCTCATACGCCGCAAGCTCCAATAGTCTAAGAGCTATAGTAAACGCCACGAATGTTTGGGAATTGATTGATTCATCAGTCGCACAAAAAATGTGAACTGAATCATTCCGGAGTCCAAATAAAATGTAATTCCAGTACCGTAGTATTTCAAGTCATATAATAATCAATATATAATCTGTTGTAATATGTTGTTTTAACTGTCAAGTTTTGTCAAAACATATATTTGGTTATAAATATAAAATGGAGTGCCCCATTGGTGCGCTGCAACCCACACCAATGGACAGACGCACAGATCAATCAAAGAAACGCGATATAGTGTCGTCTTTGTCAATCACTAACATTTTTAGAATAAGTATTAGGGAGGAGCACGGCGGTGATTAGACTGGGCCTTTAAAACCATCTGCAGTAAAATTTACGTTTTTGTTGTATAAATAAGTAGCGCGCGTGTCAATTCTAACTTCATCAAGGGATAAATCACTTAAACATTTCGTGGCGTTTACTATAACGTTTCGAGAAAGTGTTTTTAAAACGTCTGGCTCTTTGATATATCTTTACTATGCTCTCTGGAACAGCATGCGGCTCGTCTGGCTGCCGATACCCGTTGCGTTACTACTGCGCATCGGAAGAAGATCCCTATATTTTTTATTAATTTAGTCCTATAAATTCTAGTATTGAATATAAATCGAACATGTCTCCATAGCGCAGTGCTTAGAGTTTCCGATCACGAACCGATGATTCAGAGTTCGAATCCGGGTCAGGGCAAAGACTTTTTTATTTTATTTTCGTTTATATTCTGATAGTAAAGTATTAAATAATTTTGGTAATTAAAAAAAACATTTCTCAGAATCAGAATATAATCGAAAATAAAATAAAAAAGTCTTTGCCCTA